GTACTTTTTTTTTCTATTCATTTAATTTATATGATTGTTTGCATTTAAAGTGGGTTTCTTATATAGTTGAGCCTCTTTTTTTAATTGACTCTGACAGTCTCTTTTAGTTAGTGCATTTAAGTGAGTGACATTTAAAATGATTATTGATATAGTTGGATTAATATCTACTGTTTTTGTTACCCTTTTTCTTTGTTTATTTTTGTCTTCTATTCTTTTTCAGTGTTTTTGTTTTTTTTTTAATTGAGGATTTCATATGATTCTGTTGTCTTTCCTTCCTTGGCATATCAGTTATACTTCTTTTCCTTACCTTTTTTTGGGTAGGTATTCTAGAGTTTGTAGTATCCATTTACAATTAATACAAGTCCGCTTTCAAATAATTCTTCATAGGTAGTGTTAGTATCATATACTTAGAAAATCCCAATTTCTTCCTCCCACTTCTTGTATCATTGCTGTCATTCATTTGACTTAAATTTAAGCATACATAATTGAATACATTGTTGCTATTATTACTTTGAATAAATTCTTATCTGTTAGATAAATTAAGAATAAGAAAAATAAAAGTTTTCAATTTTACCTTCATTTATTCCTTCTTCAGTGTTCTTTCTTTCTATATGTAGCTTTGAAATTCTGACATATGTCTTTTTCCTTCTCTCTAAAAAAAATCAGTTTAATATTTCTTGTAATATTGTTCTACTGGCAACAAATTCCAAATTTTTGTTTGTCCGTGAAAGTCTCTTTCTCCTTCACTTTTGAAGGATAATTTCACAGGTCATAGGATTCTAGGTTGGTGGGTTTTTTCTCCCAAACCTTTAAATATTTCACTCCGCTCTCTTCTTACTTGCGTAGCTTCTCTAGAAAAATCATTTGTAATTCTTATCTTTGTTCTTCTATAGAGGAGTGTTTTTTTCTTTTTCTCTGTCTTCTTTCAATAGTTTTTCTTTTTCTTTTTTCTCCCTGTTGTTATTATTTTGCATTTGTCCTGCTTGGTGTTCTCTGAGCTCCCTAGATCTGTGGTCTGTGGCTTGGTTCCTGACATTAATTTGGGAAAATTTCAATCGTTATTCTTTCAAATCTTCTGTTTCTTTCTCTCTTTCTTCTCTGTCTGGTATTCTCATTACAAATATGTTATACCTTGTGTAGTTGTTCCACAATTCTTGAATATTCTTTTCTGTTATTTTTCAGTCCTTATTCTCTTTGCTTTTCAGTTTTTGAAGTTTTTATTGACATATCCTCAAGTTCAGCGATTCTTTTCTCAGCTGTGTTCAGTCTACTATAAGCCCATCAAAGGCATTCTTCGTTTCTATTACAGGTATTTCTTTTATCTCTGGCATTTCTTTTTAGATCTTAAAATTTCTATCTTTCTGCTTACATTGCTCATCTGTTCCTACAAGCTGTCCACTTTGTTTATTAGAGCCCTTCATATATTAATCATAGTGGTTTTAAATTCTCAGTCTTATAAATCCAGCATTCCTGCTGTATCTGATTCTGACACTTGCTCTTTTTACCCAAATTGTGTTTTTTGCCTTTTGGTATGTAATTCTTTCTTTCTTTCTTAATTGTTGCTCTTTTTTTGCTTTTTTATCTAGTCACAAAATGTAATTGATTCATATTGGCCTGGCCTGAACTCTATTCTTGGATCTTTTCTCTATCTTACTCCTTCTTATAGTGATCTCAAGTCTGTTTAAAGTCCATGCCTTTAAATAGTTATCTATATGCTGAAACTCCCAAATGTATATCTCCAGTCAATTCTACTTATTTTTTCTTTAAATTTTTATAGTTTACTGCCCACCTGACATCTTCACTTGGAAATGTAGTGGATATCGCCAGCCTAACATGTCCAAAACTAAACTTTTGATCCTTTCCACCAAACCATGTCATTTGGTAACTTCATTCTTCTCCTTGAGTCAGAATTTTAGATGTGTTCTTGTCTCTTCTCTTTCTCTCATGTCTCTCAAATCTTTCACAAAATTGTCTTTATTGCTATGCCTTCAAAATACATCCACTTCCATAATCTCCATTATTATCCTAGTTCAAGCTGCTGTTATTGCATGTATGATTTACTACCTTGTCTAGCCTTAAGCAAAAGTTAAAACATGCACAATTTCTGCTTAAAACCTGCTAATGGGTTAAAATCACTCAGATTAAATGCCAAAATGTTTGCCATAAGGTACAAGCCTCTACATAATCTTCCCCCTTCCCTCCGAATGTCTCCAATATCTGCTCTTCATCACTTGCTCCACTCCAAGCACCCTATCCTCTTTGCTGTTCTGTGAACATGTGAGATGCACTGCTACCTTGGAGCCTTTTCACTTGTCCTGGAACCCTTCTCTCTGTGTTTATCAGCTTGGAAAAACATCTCATTCAATTCTTTCTGAAATGTCACCTTCTCAATTTGTGTTATCTAGTCTAACCACCCTATATAAAATTACAAAATGCCCTCCTCTTCTGGCATTTTGATTTTCCTTTTTCTTGTTCTATTTTACTAAATATGTAGTGTATACATAGCCACTAGCTGTATGTGGTTATTTAAATGAATTTAAAATAAACATGTTTAAATTTTAGATTCTCATTATACCATCCAGATTTCAAATGCTTAATAGTCATGTGTGTCTAGTGGCTACCAAATTGGACAGCACTGATAGAAGAGCATTCCATCATTTTAGAGTTCTATTGGACAATACTGTTCTAAGTTTTATAAGAACAATTAATCTTGTTGCAATTTCTCTAACCTTCAGTATGAATTGTATACTGATATCAACTTCATCTTCCTAAAGTATTACTTCCATCATCAGAGCAGAATGTAGTATTGGGAGACAGTGAGAGCACTGGAGTCAGAAATATCTTCTTTTAAGTCTTAACCCTGGTATTTGACACTTAATTTAGATTTTTTTTACCTCTGTTTTCTCAAATGAAAATGGAGGTAATATCTTCTTGGCAGAGTTGTTTTCTATTATATAGTATATGTGTTCCTGGGAAAACCTTGTGCTGTGCAAAATCATGGACTAAAAACAGCAGAGCTCTGGAAAAAAAAAGATTAAGAAAGACCGTTCAAAACTCATGCAGCTTTGAAAACTGAAGAGTAAAAATTAAAATAACACAATTAAAAAGTCATGTTAAATTTTAAGCAATAAAAATATTTACTATATAATAGGAGTCTAAAATAAAATGAAGGTATCTAGATGAAAGGAGTATATCTAGATGGAAAGAAGGATAAGTCTGCAAAGTTATGAACTCAAGGGGACTATCCACAAACACCAGTAAAGACTCACTCAGTACATATATCTAAGACAGAGTTTGTGACCAAAGAGCCAAGAGGAGGAACATGAGATTCTTGGGATGAATGGGCGTTGTGTGCAGTTCTGTATTTCTCTGGTTTGCTGCATCCCGCTGTGTTAGTGTACTTTACATTCAGCTGCAATTATTTGCAAGTTGTGTGGACACTGTTGATGTTCCACCCATATCCCCTTTACCAGCTCATTTACTCATCCAGTTACAGGGAGTGTTGGTTGTTAACAACTCACAGCTGTCCCTCTCTCTGGAGAATTGCCTGGTCAAATGGAAACCACCTCATCCATAAGGTTAAACACCTTGCCGACTCTCCACTGGCAGTCTTTAGCCAGTGAGTGGCTAGCACAGGAGTACAAAAATCCAGGCCTCTTACCTCAAAGTCAGACCAACCCTGGGCAATTGTTCATGTTTCAGAGCATACAATTGGATCAGACTGAGAATACATCATTGCTTAGTTTCTTTCCTTTTTTCTTACCCTATTCTGCTCTTCTCCTTTTTCCTGAGGACACTACTTCACTAATCTATGTGCATGTGAAGCTTTGTTTCTAGGGAATCTAATGTGAGATAATACTGTAAAACATTATCAGGATAGGAAATATCACATATGAACAGTTGTTTCTGAGTTATTTCTGAAACAAATGTTGTAACAGAACACTTTTTTAAAGTGCATAGCAGAGTTCCTAGCACATAGTAAAACGCTAATTAATAATAGCCACAAAGAGTATGATGAAGGTAATGGTGGTGGTGGTGATAATATTACTTCCTGCTCAGAAATGTTCAGGCTCTTTCCATTACCAACCTCATGATGTTTTAGATATCTACAACTTGAGTCAAACTTACTTTTCCTGCCCATTTCCATACTGCTGCCCCACATTGAACTGTTGTTTTTCTACCAACTTAGAAGTCCTTCTACTTTCCTTCCATCTGTCCACATACCAATTTCTTTCTAGTACTCTTTTAGATAGTATCTCTTCTAATATTCTTTGTGTAAATGTGTCAGATCATTGGGCTGTTACTTTCCTCTGATTTGTCATATTTTTATTCTCAGACTTCTACTGTATATCAGCCCTGTCATATACTGTAAGAAAAATGGTAGCCAGGTGCAGTGGCATGGGCCTGTAGTTCCACCTACTTGGGAGGCTGAGGTGGAAGGGTCATTTGAGGCTAGCCTAAGCAACATAGTGAGACCTCCATCTCATTAAAAAAAAAAAAAAAAAAGCAAAAACCATTTACACATGTACTACAAATGGTATTCAGGGTGTTTTCTAAAACTTTTATCACTTAAAGAAATGATCTTAATGTTTAGGAGTTTTTTATGAGCTTAATAATTTTAAATAATAATTGTTAAGAATTATTTGAAGCTTTTCTAGGTCATTGAAGAGATGAAAATATTTTTAGAATAAATTTGAATCTTTTATTGGAGATAGTTAACTGTATGTAAAATTTTACTCTAAGTTTATATAAAAGCTTTACCCAGCACAATGCCTTAGATATAGTAACCATCTAAATATCTGGATATCTGTCATTCCTTTTTAATTTATGTGTTCATAAAATGTTTTATCATAATATTATGCTTTATTCTTTATACTTTATATTTAATATATTAGAAGTCTTTCAACTTCACCAACATTTTGTTTTTGAGTAAAGTACAAAAGACACAAAGGACTTAGTATATATATATAACTATAATATTTATTGTTTTATACCTTTAGATTATCGACATGATGGTCGAGATCTTCAAAGCTCAACATTGTCAGTGCCAGAACAAGTAATGTCATCCAACCATTGTTCACCATCAGTGTCTCCTCATCGAGTAGATGTTATAGGAAGGACTAGATCATGGTCACCCAGTGTCCCTCCTCCACAAAGGTAAGATAGACTACTCATTTTATTTGTAGGGTGGCTGTATTACTCAGAGGGACAAAACTAATAGGATATATGTATATATGAAAGGGAGTTATTAGGGAGAATTGGCTCATGTGATTTTAAGACAAAGTCCCACCATAGGACTTCTGCAAGCTGGGGAAGGGAGAAGCCAGTAGTGGCTCAGTCTGAGTGTGAGTCCATTTTGAAAGCCTTAAAACCAGGGAAGCCGACAGTGCAGCCTTCAGTCTGTGGTCAAAGGCCTGAGAGCCACCAGCAAGCCACCGGTGCAAGTTCCAGAGTCCAAAGGCCAAAGAACCTGGAGTTGGGTATCCAAGGGCAGGAGGAGTGAAAGGAGTTAACCAGCACAGGAAAAAGAAAGAAGCCAGAAAACTTAGCAAGGAAGGTTATCCCACCTTCTTCACCTGCTTTGTTCTAGCTGCATTGGCAGCTGACTGGATGGTGGATTGGGTGGGTCTCCCTCTCCCAGTCCACATATTCAAATGTCAGTCTCCTCTGGCAACATCCTTACAGACACACCTAGAAACGATACTTTACCAGCCTAGGCATCTTTCATTCCGTTCAAGTTGACACCTAATATGAACCATCACAATGGCATTATAGACCTATTTATCATGTATCATTAATAATCTCTAAAAATAAGAGATTCTTGTGGAAAAAGAATTTAAGGAAAAACAAGATAGTTTTATTTATTTAAGGAAAAACAAAATGCTATTCAAGGAAAAACAAGATGCCATACAATAACCTGCATAACGAGAGTAAAATGAAATATGACTTATTTTGTAATTTTAGACTACCTATATGTTATTTTATTTTAAGAGTTCAAAATAACTCAGAAGAACCAGTTTTCAATCCCATATTGATATGAGTATATCTAGGTAGAACCAACTAATTATAGTCATGAATGATACAGATAATTGATAATTTAATATATAGGAAAAAATGAAAATTTGACTGATGTTTAAAATTAGTAACAAATATCAGAATAATAATTTTTTTCTTTCTTTTTTTTTTTTTTTTTTTTTTTACAGATCAGAATAATAATTTTTCTTTCTTTTTTTTTTTTTTTTTTTTTTGAGACAGAGTCTTGCTCTGTCGCCAGGCTGGAGTGCAGTGTTGCGACCTTGGCTCACTGCGGCCTCTGCCTCCTGGGTTCAAGCGAGTCCCCTTCCTCAGCCTCCCGAGTAGCTGGGATTACAGGCCCACACCACCATGCCCGGCTAATTTTTTGTATGTTAATAGAGATGGGGTTTCACCATGTTGGCCAGGATGGTCTTGATCTCCTGACCTGGTGATCTGCCTGCTTTGGCCTCCCAAAATGCTGGGTTTACAGGTGAGAATAGTAATTTTTAAAAGCATGTGCAGTGGGACAAATGGCTCAGAAAATCTGCAGCTAGCAGTCTTAAGCTTACTAGAAATCTCTGATTAACCCGGTTAAGTACAGACAAGCTTAATGGAATAAGAATCATGGAAGTAATAGGTGAAGCTAACAAGAAATATGTGCATAATTTACATTGTACATACATGGAATGTTTAAGAAATTTTGACCAGTTAGAATGACACACTTATACATCCTATTTTAAATAAATAATTGAGTATTTGACTAAGAATTTTAATTGAGTCTTAATTTTACACAGAATATTGGAATGTCTAAGAGAGCTTTAGATTTATTATGTTTAAAGGATATAAGCCACTAAAATAAGATTTATGTAACTTAGACAATTGCAGAAATTAACAAGAATATCTGATATATTAAGTTGACAAACATGGTTTAAAATGTTTGAAGATGTTGAATTAACAAAGTTTATAAATGGGACCAAAATTATTAAACATTTTTTTAAAAGTACTTAACTGTGGTACACTTATCAATATAATAACATGTGTAACCTGAAATTTAAAGTTTGAGAACTAGTTTTAAATTTGTAACTTTAATAAACTGAACCCTACCCTCCTCTAGGAAAATAAAAGAATGCCTATGTACGAGGAAAAACAACAATGTTTTTGTTCTTTGTACACTCTACTCAACACAGAACACCTTTGTGACCAGATTCGTGGGGATTTTTTCCCACATCAAGCAACTTTCCAGCAGATAGCACCTAAGTATCCTATAATTCAGTTCAATTCTGACACTATAATCTGGAAATTGTATCAGATTTCACATGTTAAAGGGTTAAAGGCTCAGTCCCACAAGACTGTCCCCTACTTCAAATGCCAATTGCAAGTCCCAGATTGTGACCTATCCGGTTATAAATTGGAGTTTACATAGCCCCTCTCCTTAATTTGATAATTTGCTTGGACAGCTCACAGAACTCAGTTAAACACTTTAATTATGTTTACCAGTTTATTATAAAAGACATTTGTTAAAATGCAGATGAAGAAATGCGTAGGATGAGATTTGGGCAACATGGAAGCTCATCAAATCTTGTTCAAAAGTTTCTATAGAGTTTAATCTCCAGCCCTCAACCCTCTTTCTGTAGGTCAGTAGGTGGGGCTGAAAGTTCCAGCCCTGTAATCACTTGGTCTGTCTGTAGACTGGTCCCATCAAGAGGATATCCAGGGGACCCACCCTTAGTAATCATTAGCATAAACTCAGAAGTTATCAGAGGGGATCAGTAACAAAAGACACTCTATCACTTAAGAAATTCCAATGGTTTTAGGAACTCAAGACAAAGACCAAATGTGTTTCATATTATATCACACTTTATTTTTATCAGGTAAAGAACAGTTGAACAGTCCAATAGAAGATAGGAATATCTATCTTTTTAGATATCTACTGTTTTAGATCAGATTATGTTTCATATGATAGAAAACCCATCATAACAGAAGTTCAAACATAAAGTGTTTATTCCATGATGAAACAGAAGTGTGTAACTAGACAATCTAGGGCAAAAATGTTAGCTTAAAAAAAGGCATCATTGATAAATTATAGAGAGAAGTAACATTTTTAAAATACAAGTAACCTTATCATTCCTAAAATAAGATCCACTAACATATCACTTATAAGCAATGTCCTTAAAAGAACACAGAGAATATGAAAACAAAGGCATGAAAAAATATAATAACTATATATCAACTAAAATGAAAATAAGATCCCAATTTCAATCAGAAGAAAAAAATGAATGCAATATCAAAAGTGTCATAAAGGACAAAGAAATATATGTTCTAGGAAAAATTACTGAATTCAAAATATATAACCATTACTACCACTTTGAATTAGACAGTCTGTACTTTGCACAAAGACTGGACCAAAAGCCAAGAAAGGGCCAAACTGTAGCTAGAATTTTGCTCAATTGTATGCTCATAAGGCCATTTCTGTAAAGAAGCAGTACTTTTTCAAATTTGCCCTGAGGCATTATAAAAACTAATAAAAATACCTGGGTATAATGATCATGGACAAATTTGTTCCTTAACATATAAAGAGCTTCTAAAGATAAGAAGCAACAACTGGCAGGGTTATAGAAAGAAAGAAAGAAACAATTTTAGTTGGAAGTTTTAACATATCCCTAACGGAAATCAATAATCAGGCCCCCCCCCCCAAAAAAAAATTAGCAATGACTTAGAAGGTTTGAATAATGTCAAATTTATTGTGTGACTCAACTATGCTATATTTTGTATATGTATCTTTTTGTGTATCTCAATATAAAATTACATACCATTAAAGCAAAGAATATAAATTATTTTTAACACAACATAACTTTACAAAAATAACTGGTAACAGAAACTCGTTAAAAAGTAAACCTCAATAAATCCCAGATAAATAATTTCTCTGAATATTATTCAATAAACTTATAAAGCAATTTTGCAAAGATAGTTTTTAAATTCCTAGAACTTAGCTAAAATACTGTGAAATAACTTTTGATTATAAGTGAAATAATTGAAATATTAGGAAATATTAGGATTGAATGACAAATGAAAATGATGCAAGCATTTGTGGGACACAAGCAGTATTTAGGAAATTTTTATCTTAAAGGATATTTATCAAAAAATAGGAATGCTTCAAAATGATGAAATAGGATATTACCTCTCAACTGTTAGAATGGCTCTTATCAAAAGGCAAAAAATAATATGAGATGGCAAGGACGTGGAGAAAAGGGAACCCTGGTACACTATTGATTGCAATGTAAACTAATACAGTCATTATTTAATGAAAACAGTATGGAGGTACCCGCCAAAAATTAAAATGGAACTACCATATGATTCAGTAGTTCCACTACCAAGTATCAAAGGATATGAAATCAGTATGTCAAAAAGATACCTGTGAGGGGACAAAGCAAGATGGTGGAATACCTACAACATTCATATCTTCACAGGAATACCAAATTTTACCAGCTATCTGTACACTGAAAAGCACTATCACAAGACCCAAAAATCAGGTGAGCAAACACAGTACCTGGTTTTAACTTCATATGATTGGAAGTGACATTGAGGAGGGTTGGAGAGACAGTCTTGAATCACCAATGCCATCCTTCTCCTATCCCCCACCAACAGTTGTTCAACATGGAGAGTCTGTGCATTTGGGAGAGGAAGAGCGCAGTGCCTGGGGAACTTTACATTGAACTCAGTGTTGCCCTGTCATAGCAGAGAGCAAAGCTGTGCTGGGCTCGGCCAGTGCCTGGATATGGAGGAAGCATTTGGACCAGATTTAGCCGGAGAGGAATCACCCATTCCATCAGTCAGAACTTTAAGTTTCTTAGCAAGCCATGCCACAGTGGGACAAAGTGCTCTGGAGTCCTAGGTAAACTGGAAAGGACACGAAGACTACAACTCCTGGGCAGCACCTAGTGCTGGGCTGGGCTCAGAGCCAGAGGACTAGGGTGGCACATGACCTAAGGAGATACCAGATGGCATGGCTAAAGGAGTGCTTGTACCACTCCTCCTCCAACCCCAGGCAGTGCAACTCACAGCAATTAAAGTGTCTCCTTCCTTCTGTTCAAGGGGAGGAGAGGAAAGAGTAAAGAGGGCTTTGTCTTGCATCTTGGATCCAG